TCCCAACACAAAGTGACACCCAGATGGGGAAGGCCGGGCCACTGTGAGAACGCAGGAAGTTGACTGCAGCCTGTACAAGATGAATACAGGGGAGAAGGTCGGGAGCAGCCGGCAACCTGGGTCAGCCGAGCCAGCCTGGGCAGCGACTGCCTGGAGGCTGGAGGCAGGGTGGCCCACGTTAAAACAGTGTTCAGTGCCAGGATTCCAGGATGAAATGCAGAAAATGGAACTCATTTCTTCTCTACCGGTTCTGCAGACCCGAAGGCTGTCATCGGTGTCAGCAGGGCTGGCTCCTCTGCGCTGTGGCTAAGGGTCTGGCCCAGCCTTTCCTCAGCTCACAGACGGCTGTCATCCCTCTGTGTTCATCTCTCTGTGTCCCAATGTCCCCTTTTTGCTAAGGACACTAGTCACATTGGTTAGGGGCCCGCCCTACCCCAGTATGAACTCAATTAATTACATCTGCAAAGACCCAAGTCAGCTCACATTCTGAGGTGCCGGGGGTGAGGACAACACGTGGACTTTTAGAAGACACAATTCAGCTCCTGACAGACAGTGATGTGAGCACACTGGGGACGTGAGTTTGAGTACCTGCCCCCTTTCCATCCTACCCACTGGGACAGGGTTCCCATAGCTGAAATTCATTTCCACCCATGTCAGTGAGCGCCATGCCCTCTACCACACCAGCCCTCAAGCCACCAGTGTTTACGCCACAGTGGTTGGGGGCTCTGTGACACCCTGCCAGCCTAAGTCCTAATTAGTACCTGTCCCCATGCCCAGGGGTGCTGGGTCATCGAAGTTTCTGGGGCATGTCAGGATGACCCCCATCCTGTCCAGGGTCTTGTCATCAAGACCACTTCACAGTCACTCTCCCCAAGCACTGTCAATCATCAGTAAACAGCCACAGGAACAGTGCACCTGAAGACACCAGCCAGGTGAGAGGTGCAGGTGGCTCAAAAGTCCTGTTCATCCCCAGACCAAGTGTCTTTTTCACCCCCACAACAGGGACCCAGGACCTCCAGTCTCCCTAAGTTACCTGTGGAAAATGCACCCCTTGATCTCAAAGGCCAGACCAGCCACACCAGTAGCCGGCAAGCTGCCCATCACGGAATGGGCCTCACAGTTTTGGGTGTTTTTTTGCAAGGGCTCCCATCACAGGCCGACATCCACCCTCTAAGGGCTCAGCCAGGGTGAGCTGATGGGGTATTCACTGTTCTAAGATTATCCTGAGAGAAAGAGCTTTAGGAAAAAACCACACCTAAAAATATCTGCTCGGGCCTTCCAGCACCTCTAGTAGTGTCCTGGGGCTGCAGTAATAAATGACCACAAACTGGTGGCCTGAAAACAACAGAAATTGATTCTCTCCCAGTTCTGGAGGCCAGAAGTCCAAGATCAAGGTGTCAGCAGGGCTGGTTCCCCCAGAGGCTCTGAGGGTCTGTTCCTCGTCTCCCTTCTAGCTTCTGGGGTTGCCGGCATCCTTGGCTTGGGGCTACGTCACCCCATTTCTACCTCCATCATCTCATGGGTCTGTGTGTGGCAACTGTCCCTGTCTTTTCTCTTATAAGGACCCCAGTCATTGGACTCAGGGCTCTCCCTAAATGCGAGATGATCTCACTCCAGGATCCCTAATCACATCTGCAGAGACTATTTCCAAGTAAGGTCACCTTCATAGGTGCCAGGGGCTTGGGACAGGGACAACCTTTTGGGATCCACTATTTGCCCCCTACAACCACCACGAAATGCTGCCCCTTTGGCCTTATTGACACACATCCCGCCCCTCCTCTTTGGTACAGGCCATCTTAAGGTCGGCTGTGGAGTGATGAGAAGCATAAAACCCATCACTGATGCCACGAAGCACACAGACGCCCACCTGGGGCCCAGTGCCTGCCCACCCACTCACCAGACAACTGCACACCACACAGTACACAACGCGCAAGTCACAGTCATCCCCGGCCAAGGCCAGATGGGCTGGTGGGGGCCCGCACGTGGGACACAGAAAGAAAATCTGCTGTGCTGGCTCTGGAGCTACGTCCAGAGCCTTCCGCTGCATGTGAAGTGCCCGCTCCCTCGGCCTTCTCGCCCTGGACTTTGCTTATCCAAGCACCCAAGGAGGATGTCTCCATCCACAGGCGCGGGGAAGGCTTGGCAGCAGGAAATCCTGATGTGCGTCTCTCTTCCTGGGCTTCCGGCCTCAAAACTGGAATGTTTTGGGGCCCAGGAGGGATAGGACACTGTCAGTGATAGTGGCCTGGGCCCTGCCCTTAGGGCGACCCCCGGCCAAGGCCGCCCTGTTAAAACAGGAGGAGTCATGAGTTGCCCCTGCTGGGAAGGGCCTTAGCTTGTGCTAACTCAGCAAATGAGGAGAGGCCCAGGGCCATCTACAAGGCCGGGGACCCCACCCTCGCCCCACTCCAGGAGCACTGGCCAGCCATGGGAAGACACAAGTCCAGCCCCCAGAAGCCTCACATCCACAAGGTGTAAAGTTCTCTTATGGTATCAGCCACATAATGGGCTCCCCATAGGAGCTCACGGATGCCATAGAGGCTGTCCTGGAGAGGCAACTTCACGCTGGGGATCTTCGGCTGGCCAGGTGCACGTGGGGTGGGGTGCTCTGGCCCTGCAAGTGTCCTCAGACCCCGGGGGTGGGGGGTTCAGTTGGCAGCAGGAGGGCTCTTCTCTGCAGGCCCCCTGGATCCATGAGGCCTATCCCTACGCTCTAGTCTGCCTTGTCTGCCCTCTAGTGCCCACTGCAGACAGGTGGGGCAGGGGTGGGAGGGAAGCGAGGAGAAAGGACGGTGCGAGGGTGGGCCAGACCTGGGCTCGCAGCTCAGAGCCTGGACCTCTGCAGAGGGGACAGCGGTGGGCTCTCTGCCTCTCCTTCTCATCGGCTCTTGGGGTCCGCTGTGCTGGCCCTGAGTGGATTTTGCAATTCTTTAGCACCAAAGACCTCTGAACTGAATGGGATCTAACGTCACTATGTGCCTTTCTCACTGGGAGAGCTATGATCTTGCTGGGGTCTCCTTAGCATTCCTAGGACTGCACACAACTGGCAGCACAGCATCACTTCCTGGGGCCCTTTCCAGAGCTCTGCCTGACTTGGAGTCACTATCCCAAAGTTCAGGCCTCAGGGCTGAGCTGGGTGCCAGGAACTCAGAGCTGCCTGGTGACACTTGACAGTTGGTACATGATGTACGTCAGCACACACACCAACCCAACCCTACTCTGGGAAGACTGTGGGGACAGCTGGCAGGAAATACGGGGAAGAGAAAGAAGAAAACATGAGTTGGAAGAAAGAGAACAAAGTTCAGCTCAGAAGTCTTTCAAGCCCCAGAAATGGGAAATAGCCGAGCAGTGCATCCTGGGGCTGGCCGGGAAGGGGCAGGGTGGGGACCAGCTGTGCGGTTTTCTGCAGGAAACTGCTGGGAACCGCTAGGGATGGGTGGGGGGATCTGTCCGCTTCTGTTGAGAGTAATATGCCTTGTGATCAAAACTGCTGGCCAGGGCCGGCCGAGTGGCACGATGGTTAAGAACTGGCTTGGGATGCCAGAGGGCCCCGGTTCGGATCCCACATATGAGGGCCAGTGACACTGCCCTCC